CCCGGGGTTTTCTCCCCGGAATTCCGGGGCTGGCTCACGGTGAGGAAGGGGTGCCGGCTGCTCTGGAGGACGCGGCTCTCGGTGACCGTGTGAGCGACCTCATCCTGCGGGAAAATCCCAAATTCCCGGAAAAATCCCAAATTCCCAAAAAAAATCCCCAATTCCCACCGGAAAAATCCCATTTTCCCCCCGGAATTCCCATTTTCCCCCTTAAAATCCCCATTTTTCCACCCCAAATTCCCATTTTCACCCCCAAAATTCCCATTTCTCCCCCCAGAATTCCCATTTTTCCCCCCAAAATTCCCATTTTTTCATTTTCCCATGCCTTGGCGATGATGATTTCCTTCCTGAGGATTTTCATGGCGTAATAACGGCCCGAGCATTTCTCCCGCACCAGGATCACCTTCCCGAACGTTCCCTTCCCCAGCAGCTTCAGGTAATCGAAGTCGCTCATGCTCTGCGCCCAAAATCCCGGCATTTGGGGAAAAACGGGAATGCCGGAGGCTCGGGAAGATTTGGGGAATTTTGGGGATTTTTTTGGGGATTTTTTGGGATTTTTTTGGGATTTTTTTGGGATTTTTTTAAGGATTTTTGGGTGATTTTTTTGGGATTTTTTGGGGTTTTTTTTGGGATTTTTTTGGGGATTTTTTTTTGATTTTTTGGATTTTTTTAAGGATTTTTGGGTGATTTTTTTGGGATTTTTTTGGGGATTTTTTGGGGATTTTTTGGGATTTTTTGGGGAATTTTTTTGGATTTTTTGGGGATTTTTTTGGGATTTTTTTTGGATTTTTTGGGATTTTTTGGGGATTTTTTGGGATTTTTTTGGGGAATTTTTTGGGATTTTTTTAAGGATTTTTTGGGGATTTTTGGGGGATTTTTTGGGGATTTTGGGGGGATTTTTTTGGGGATTTTTTGGGATTTTTTGGGGATTATTTGGGATTTTTTGGGATTTTTTTGGGATTTTTTGGGATTTTTGAGGGATTTTTTTGGGATTTTTTGGGGAATTTTTGGGGGATTTTTTGGGGATTTTTTGGGGATTTTTTGGGGATTTTTTTGGGATTTTTTGGGGTTTTTTTTTTATTTTTTTGGGGATTTTTTGGATTTTTTTCAGGATTTTTTTGGGATTTTTTTGGGATTTTCATGGCGTAATAACGGCCCGAGCATTTCTCCCGCACCAGGATCACCTTCCCGAACGTTCCCTTCCCCAGCAGCTTCAGGTAATCGAAGTCGCTCATGCTCTGCACCCAAAATCCCGGCATTTGGGGAAAAACGGGAATGCCGGAGGCTCGGGAAGATTTGGGGAATTTTGGGGATTTTTTTGGGGATTTTTTGGGATTTTTTTGGGATTTTTTTGGGATTTTTTTAAGGATTTTTGGGTGATTTTTTTGGGATTTTTTGGGGTTTTTTTTGGGATTTTTTTGGGGATTTTTTTTGGGATTTTTTGGATTTTTTTAAGGATTTTTGGGTGATTTTTTTGGGATTTTTTGGGGATTTTTTGGGGATTTTTTGGGATTTTTTGGGGAATTTTTTTGGATTTTTTGGGGATTTTTTGGGATTTTTTGGGGAATTTTTTGGGATTTTTTGGGGATTTTTTTGGGATTTTTGGGATTTTTTTGGGGATTTTTTGGGATTTTTTTGGGGAATTTTTTGGGATTTTTTTAAGGATTTTTTGGGGATTTTTTGGGGATTTTTTGGGCATTTTTTGGGGAATTTTTTGGGGATTTTTTGGGGATTTTTTGGGGATTTTTTGGGATTTTTTTGGGCATTTTTTGGATTTTTTCAGGATTTTTTTGGGATTTTTTTGGGATTTTCATGGCGTAATAACGGCCCGAGCATTTCTCCCGCACCAGGATCACCTTCCCGAACGTTCCCTTCCCCAGCAGCTTCAGGTAATCGAAGTCGCTCATGCTCTGCGCCCAAAATCCCGGCATTTGGGGAAAATCGGGAATGCCGGAGGCTCGGGAAGATTTGGGGAATTTTGGGGATTTTTTGGGATTTTTTGGGGATTTTTTTGGATTTTTTTAAGGATTTTTGGGTGATTTTTTTGGGATTTTTTGGGATTTTTTTGGGGATTTTTTTGGGATTTTTTGGGATTTTTTGGGGAATTTTTTGGGATTTTTTGGGGAATTTTTTGGGATTTTTTTGGGATTTTTTGGGGGATTTTTTGGATTTTTTTAAGGATTTTTGGGTAGTTTTTTTGGATTTTTTTAAGGATTTTTGGGTGATTTTTTTGGGATTTTTTGGGATTTTTTTGGGGATTTTTTTGGGATTTTTTGGGGAATTTTTTGGGATTTTTTTTGGATTTTTTTGGGATTTTTTTTTGATTTTTTGGGGGATTTTTTAGGGATTTT